TAGGATTGTTTTTTGTTTTTCCTGCAGTATATAAAAATTGCTGTATCTCAAAAATAAAACTATGAAGACACTCAAAATAAATTTCCTGTTGTTGTAAACTATTTTTTGCAACTTTTTTGTATTTAAAGTTTTGAGGGATAAGCCTCTTAAATTTCTCCAAGTAGAAATATATGTAAAAACAAAACAAAACCAATTTTCAATTTTTTTGGAGTTTATTGCACTTTTTTGCAATTAATGTAGTTACTATGGACTTATTGCATACATATTATTAAAATATGGGCTATAACAATTGTATTGATGTATAGCAACTTGAAATGCTCCCAAAAATGGCACTACAGCATGTAAAAATATAAACTAAGCTCTGGCGGACTTGGTTCTATGGTAGGTCTTAAAGGGTTAAAATAAGTATCCAAAGGCGAGATCCCAAATTCCTCAGAGTGCCACGATCTGTTTGTGCCCTTGGAGTCTGCATGTTATTGAGAACAATTTAAACTGTGGTAAAGATTTTGAGTTTAAGTTAATGTAACATACAAAAATTACCCTTTTAGAAAAGTTGCAATTTTTTTTCATTTTATATAAATTAATTAACAGTTTGTCTCTTTACCAACCACTCAGAAGAAACATACACATATTTGCTGCCATGTTATTTTTAACCTCCTTTTCTCTTGTTTTGAAAACCGATGTCCAGTATGTCCAGACGACTTGTCTTTCTTTTTATAGTTATATTATTGTATAGTTTTTTATAATGTGCTAAGTACGTGTGCACTTTTACTGAGCTGTTTTTAGTCTCATTATACTGTATATAATGACAATAAAGGCTTTAATTCTTTTTTTGTAGCTAGCCAGGCAGTTAGCAAGACTGACATACCCAGGATTGCTGACTTCACTTATCTTAATGTGGGCAATCAGGCTAAGCAGTCACATAAAGGTGGTTATCAACTCGATAAATTAATTCAGGGTTTATCAATCTAGCTATGAGGGGGGGGGTAGTGGAAGAACACACACACACATATGTATATATATATATATATATATGCAGGATCTGGTGGATTCTAATAGTTATTCCGTTAAATTAATATTACTCGTGCATGAGATGGTATTCTCTCAGCTACAGCTCCAGTGGTGTTTGATGATCTAAGAGAACAGATTAAATATAAAAACTTCTAAAAAATTCAAACATAGACTCATAAGATGTGCTTCTTGTTTTGGCCTTGAAGACCCTGTCCACCCTATCTGTTCCCTCCTTTTGGTTGTTTGGTCTCCTTATTTTTTCAAATGTTGAGTTCAGGAAGTTGTAATCTTTAATCCCAAAAGAAATATTTTTGATATGATTTATTTGAATGAATATTTCACAAATTGATTGTATATATATGTGTCGTGACCCTGAAGAAGGTTCCTGATCCCCTTGTTGGGTCTAAAATTACAGTATATAAAGTAAAATAGTCAAATCCTATAGACACATTAATGCTCTGCTGTCTTTGTTCTTTCTCGCATCTTTCACTTTTGCTATATTTAATTATATATATTCAATAACAGATTTAGATTGTGTACCTTTTGCATAAAAATGCGACTATGTTACTTATTTCTTCTCATTGAGTAGATTTAAATTGTTGCTTTGATCGTTTTCATGAAGCAAATGACCTGAAATATTTCTTTTTGTCACTGATTGACAGTAAATTTAAAAAACAAACAAACATACAGTTGTTTCAGACCCTTCTGTCAGTCTGGGATAAACACTCTTCATAGCATACACACTGAGAGCCAAATACTGTAAACGTGGACAAAACACTGAGAGGCCAGCACCTGCCTTGTCAATCAGAGAAAAGCTAAGAAAACTACAAGGGGAAGTCTCCACAGTCCCAGAAAAGCATCCCAGCAGGCCTCCGCAGATTATGGTCTCACACTCAATGAATCCCCAGCGACCAATTGTGCTATACATTTCACCACAGCCCCATCATGTTAACATGCAATGAAGTAACATGATCAGATACTTAACAGCCAGGTC